GAAAGAAATGAAAAAAAGAAAAAAAAAAGAGAAAAATGTTGCAGTGCAAGTTCAAGTTCTGTGGAAATCATAAATTGCAGTTGATTCGAAAGGGATGAGGGAGAGGGTTGTCTAGGGAACCTGCTCAACCCCTCTCCCGAGCTTCACCCATGCTTTAATCCTCGTACTGTAGGTGTAGGAATCTAACAAACAAGCGAAGGAATGCATGGGACTTCATCAAAAAAGAAAAAAAGAAGAAGAAATTTCACTCACCAGGGCATAAAGGATGGAATTCAAGAAAGAAAAGAGGGTTGAATGAAGTTTGGGGGCTAGGGGTTTCAGACGAGAAGAGGGAGAACGAAGAGAGAAAATGAATCGATGATAAAAAAAAAAACCCTAAATAGTATTTATACCCTTCAATATTTTGGTTTTTTCGGGTTTGACAGGAGGCACTATTTGGTTAGTCGGTTGTTAGAATTCGCACTGAAAATGGTACCCAAATTATTGTGGATACGACCTGAATTATTGATACCTGAACTGAAACCCGAATATGATGGTTTTTTTTTTCAATTATTTCGGGTTCGAAAATTTGGTTAATTCGGTTAGAACCAAATACTTCCCACCCCTACTTTTGATGGAAACTTAAAAATCTAGCTAGGATGGAAGAAGGATAAAGAGCACTACACCAACATTTACAACAGGAATTGATTCTAAATTAGCAGTTAATGACTTGGGGATGACAAATTTTTCCCCTTTTGTGGGGCCCGTGAGATCCTATCCATGGGAGCATGGCTAAGAGAAATATTTCTCCCATGAGGTAAGGATGAGGAGCATTTTTTTTCTTATGAAATTTTGCAGGGGGTTCCTGCAAGGATTCTTGTTCTCATTGAACATTAAAAAAAAATAAAGAAAAAGTAGTAAATCAAACACAATTTAAATATTCAAACTCGTAATCATAGAGTTTAGTCACTAGTCATTTTAATTTTAATCAATACGAAAGTCTAATTATGTTAAATCAAACTAAATCCAACATCTTTTTAACTTTAACCCAACTTTTTAAAATATCTTGTTTTAAAATAATATAATAAAAATAATTAAATTAGTTTTATAATATAAATTTACAAAAAAAACAGGGAATCCCCACACAGACCAATTACCTACTAGGCAACGGGGATGGCGTAAATTTTACTCTATCAAAACTCTCCAAAACAATTTTTGCATCCGCAATTCGTGAGAATGAGGATAGGAAATCACTAATCCCACAGAGCACCATTGTCATCCCTAGTTAAAGCCATTTTCAATACAAATATAGCTGTGGGAAGTGGTACCAATAAAATAATCGTAGGTATCAATGCTTTGAGACACTTCATTGTTGACTGTTGACAACACATTACAAAGGATGCAGATGGAGTTGCTCAGCTGATAATTTTTTTTTTTAAAGAAAAAAAGAAAAAAAGAAAAAAAGAAGTTGCTCATTGGATTGCTTCGACAGACCGTAAGAGGATGTGTATTGTCTATTGGATTTCCAGATAGGGTTGGGCATTGCTATGTCACACCATGCCAACTACATTATAATGTTATGCAGCAAGCTGACGACATGGCATAATGATAAGCACGTTGATAATTAGTGATGATTAATAATTATTAATTTACATTGATAAGTCAATATGAGTTAGAATTTAATCACATATAAATTTTATATATTACATTTACACAAAATCTTAGTAATCCATCTCTTCAACTTCAATGATAAAGATTTATCCCCTTTTTATTAACATGATTTTTTAAATAAAAAAATTATAAATATAAAAAATGTATTTTATAGTTCATACAGTAAAACAAAAAACTCTCTATATATACATATATTTCTTTTATGCTAATTAAAATTTTAACCTATATAAGTAAATTTTTTAGTTAAAAACTCTAAATCTAAAGTTATATTTCATTCAGTGTATGACATCAATTTCACTTGAAATGTTTTTATTGCAAATTGTTTTTTTTTTTTTTCTAGAAGTTATATAGTACTTTAAATTTGCAAATGAAAAAATTATATCAAATGAATTTAGCCGGTATTTGTATGGTATAGTAGAGGATTTTTTTGGCAAAAAATTTTGACAAGTAACCAATTATCTAAAAAATATTTTTAACATGATATTAGTAAGAAAAATCATTGGCCAAAATTTGTTGGTAACAAAAAAATAAATAAATAAATTACCGGATAAGGTACCCTACCCCACGGTGCCCACCCCAAATTTCTTGGCTACCTCGAAAGTATACTGTATGCAGGGATTAAAATTTTATTTTTTGAATATAAATTTATAATAAAAATATATATTTATTACCCCCTAAAATCACAAATTAGAAACACCCAATTATATATTAAGGTTACTATTTTATAGTTGAAACTGCAAATCAATAAGCTCCTGTTGATTCAATTCTCTTTGCATAAAACGCAACATTGCAAAAAAATAAGTCAAGAAAACTAATAACCAACATTCATAAGAGAAAAAAATAATAAATAAAGAAAGAGAGAAAGAAAGAAAGAAAAAGCAATTTGCTTTGGGGGATGATGAGGAAGACAAATTTGGTTAGGGAATGATAAGACACATCGAAGATAAGAGTGAAGTTCTGAATACTTAAGGGTGTTACAGGATTTTAAGAACGTGGCTCACTTAAAATGTTGCAATCATTTTATCGTAACAGTTATAATTGTTTGGGGGACTATCTACCTGCCTTTCTTTAATATTTTAAGTTGTGTAATTTTATAAATATTGTTATCCCAAAAAATCTTCTTAACATGTGACAGATGAAATGGTGTGCCATTTGCTTTGCTCAAAACAACAAAGATTTATTCGACGACCCTCTCTTCTTTCCAAACGTGAAACTTAGCTTGTGAGTTGATGGAAGAACGTCGTAAATTGCGCCTTAAAAATTAGACAATTGGTAGAAACGAGGGATGAACTTCCTGTACTAAATGAGTTATACAGCAAAATGCCCTGAATATGATTCCAAGGACTCCTCAAAGTTAATGTAATCAAGAAAAGTTAAGACTGCAAGGAAAATAAATGATCGCTAAACTACTAAAAATCTAAATGAAATTTAAATACGCAAACTAGATTGAAACAAAGCTTTAAAAGGAAATTTAATTGCAGCAAAAGAAAATTAAGTTAAAGTAAATAAAACTGGAAACAAGGAAAATCTACTGGCAGCATGAAATATAAATTAACAGAAATAGAATTGAACATGAAATTAAATGTCGACATAATTTGATTTAATTAAATGAAACTTGGAAAATAGAAAAGGAAAAGAAGCAATTCGATCACAAAGAAATACTACTAAAGGCAATGAAACTCACCATTACAAATCCAACAAATAAAGAGCTGAATTACTAAACTAATCTAGCTTGAAACGTAGAGTTGAAATTAAATTAAAGGGCTTAAAACTAAGATGAATCTGAGCATAAAGAGAAATTGTGCTGAGTTTGTTGTGTGAGATGTCAATCCTTTGCTTGATCTCATCATTGGGTATTTATAGCACCTTGGCAACATGGTGAAAATCTACGACAGCATCCAAAAAACCAACGGCAGCGTGAAATTTGAAACAAATCGATTTATCTATTGGTGTTGCCGATAATCCTCCTGGAAGTTCACAACAAGTGAACGGTTTTACTGCCGTTGTGGAAATAACCACTCAATCTCATCTGAAAAGATTTACACCAACTTTCAACTAATAAAATATCTGCCAACATGGGTGACACGTGGCAGTACTCTATTTGTTGTAAAATTAGGTGTAAACAAA